AACATGACCTACACCATATATTTAAATGGTTGAGTAACCATCTCTTCAATTACGAAAAGACTAATTTTATGCCTTTTGGATGTTATTCTGACTCTCTCCCAGACTTCCAAAAACTGAGTAGGTATCCATAAAATATAAAACCACAATCAAATATTTACTTGATCCGCATTTAAAGTGGGGTGAACACGTAAAATATACAAGTAACCACTTAAGATCTTTAATCAGAAAATTTAAAGAATTGAAAACATATTTTGAAATGTCGTACTTGAGAACCTTATATTTTGCACTTGTTCAAACACATTTAACTTATGGAATAATAGTTTGGGGGGAGTGTTGGATGCATCTTAGAACGCTAGAAATCACTTAAAAGTGGATATTAAAAATAATTTATGGCAAGAATAAACTATATCCAAGTAATTTCGAGAGAGTCAAATTTTAGATATTCGTCAACTTTTCGTGCAGAAATATAAGAAAAAAGACGCGTTACAAACCATAAAGCATAATGCTTTTTACAAAACTTCTGAATTCCTCCTGCGTCGGTTTTTGCTTAGTCGAAGTTGCTGACGTTTCGCCAGTCATCCTGTTGGCTTCTTCAGAGCTTGACTGAAACTGAACTGAAGAAGCCAACAGGATGATTGGCGAAACGTCAGCAATTTCGACTAAGCAAAAACCGACGCAGGAGGAATCCAGAAGTTTTGTAAAAAGCATTACAGTAGCCTGGGGAAGTTTCTTTGAAAAATTTATAAAACATAATCATAACACCAGGTCCAAAGTAGTAACAAGTTACCTTCCTCAAACCAACACCTCACTAGGACAAAGATTCTTTTTGTACTTAAGCCCAAATATCCACAGTGAGCTACCGATTGAAATCAAAAATATAAATTCTTTAACTTTGACTAAACTAACGACTAAACAAATGGCTACTAAGTCAAGAGAGATCGAGAATTCATTCACTGCTAATGAAAAGATATGGCTAGCTTAAAAAGTACGACAAAAAAAATAAATTCTCGAATGTATCAAACTATCCCCAACAATGATAAAAACACTTACCCAAGAAAACGGATCCAGAACTAGACTAAGCTGGAATACGTAATATTACATTCCATTACATTCCAAAACAAACTTGTTGTTACAACATAATTTTATCACTCCTTTGCTAGCTTATTAAACAACATCTTCTGTTTCATTTTCATTTTAGTTTTCATTCATTTTGTTACCGTTCGATTTTTCATTACCCTTTTGACTTTTCCAATTTGTATTGATTTTTCCATATTTAATTACATGTATAATTTAGGTGGGTATTCGTTATCTTTCATTAACACTTGTTGCTTTCCATAATTCTGCAAGACCTATAAGTTTAATTCTCACCGATAAGAAGTAATTGTTTGGTGTTGTTTTAGTCTATTTATCAAATAATCGTAATTATTTTACTCCCACTTCTACTAAATATTCTTTTGTTTTATTTTTTTATCGTTTATTTTTTTGGTTATGCATTTACGGGAATTAGCATGAATAGCGTTATATTGTAGTCGTGATATTGTGGCTGATATTGATTGATGATGATTGATTGATAAATAAAATTATTATTATTATTATTATTATTATTATTTTTTAACAATAGGTTCCATAATATGTCCTTGGCGAATCTATTGGGCTTTTAGGTCTATGAGACCAATGGGATCAAAATTTTCTTCTTTAGAATGACTTTAGTATGATAAGCGTTCCTATTCGTCACCAGTCGAATCAGGTTTCAGCTCGACCGTTAGTTGATTTTAATACTTAAAACTGGTAATACTTTTTTTCGTCATGAAAATGTAGCAGCACATTAAGAATTTGGGATTTAGGAGATGGCTTTCATAAAACAAAAAATAAAAATATATCAAAAATCTATATTTTTTTCCGTTTAATATAATATATATCAAATAGCCTCCTCCCTGGCGATAGACAAGGAGGTGAATCCATATTTGCCCGCATAAGTTGACGGTTAGACAAAGAGAACATATTTTCTTTATATAAACTGTTAGGTTTACGGTTTCTATAATTACTATTTTACTAATTACTATATTAATTAAATATATTTTTTTTCCTGAAAATTGTATTTTGCTATGCACCGATCAAGTGTGTGCAAAGTTGGCTTGGAAAAAGTGTAGTATGCAATACGTTGATAAATTTCTTCAGACATTCGTTCATAAAATAATCGGTCCACTGGTGCTAAAAGGAACTTGTGACTAAGATGGCGTTTATCAAAATTATAGCTTCGCAACAAACATTTGAATTTTGCGATAAGAATATTGTATATATAGTATTTATTTAACTTACTTTTCCACCTGGAGCATTTTTTATTCTGCAATTCCGTTTAGGGACGCCAGACAGTGACAAACCGGTTTAAGCGCGGAGTGATTTATTATAGTCCAACCCAGAAAGCAATAATTTCAAACACACTCCGCTATATCGACGTTATTAATGTTTGATTTGGGCAAATCGATCAGACCCAGCGCGCTTGGTAAATAACAAAAATTTTCCTCCCTCTTTTAATGAAATCATTCGTTTTCATCAGTGTTTTACCATTTTAAAAATTCGTCGGCGCGTGGATATTTTTACCGTCGAATCTTGGACATCGCTGGGGCTCATTTAAAATAGATATCGCCGCTCTAGCAGAAAAAAAAAACATCGCTGTTTTAATCTCGATTCCCCAGTTCTACTAAATTAAAATAAAATGTTTTTTACTCGTTTTATTTCCGTTATGTAGAAAGGATTTTTTTTAGTTTTTTCCTTTTTGTGCATACATTAAGTTTTGGTGGAGTTTTTCTGCAAGACTAACCCTTTTAGTTCGAAATACGGCCAGAGAGTTGGTAGATTTCGTAGTACTCTCGTGAACTACAGTACTACGCTCTGTTCCTAATGCGAGAGCGTTATTCAACTGTAAAACTTAATTATCTTATCCGTATTTCATTTATTATTTTAATAAACTCTGATCCCTCTGATAACTTTTAAGTTGTCCACCCTGTATAATGATCCCTGGCTTTGCTCGGCCGCATTAAGAAACTTGGTATAAGTAATTTTTTAATTTGAATGAGGACGGTTAGAGAAAAGTAATAGAACTGCAATGCTTTTTAGTCAATATGGCTTTGACACAAAAATAAAAAAATATGTAAAAGACAACAAAGAACAAAATGAAAAAAAAAATCACCAAATTGTCCCAAATAGCACAAGGACACCCGTAAAACGTCCTCGGGATCCTAGGGATATACTTTTTCAGTTAAGGGACATCCTTAAGATGTCTCAAGGATATGCGATGTTACTAATTGGAACGTCCACAGTATATCAGATACATATATCCGCAGGATGTTTATTAGGCGATGCTAAGGATTAACCTATTGGGTATGGTTTGCGAAGTCATCACTGGAATAGCAGGCAATATTTCAAATGCACAAGTTTCTTTCCAAATAATATTTAATCTTTAATTTTGCTTTGGATCTGATTTTTTTCTAATTCTAAAATATAGAACAAAATAACTTAAAGTATCTTAAATATAGATTAAGGTACTATATCTTGAACTAAACTCTACAAGAATAGCAAATATTTGACAGGTTTTCTGTCATTCTTTGGTGAAAGCAGAAAATTTAAGACATTTTTCGGATTCGTTGCTCAAGTTCTTTGGTTCTTTTCAGCCAAGTAGCTATTGAATTATGGCATTCTTTTGATACTTTTTACGAAACTTCTGGATTCCTCCTGCGTCGGTTTTTGCTGAGTCGAACTTGCTGACGTTTCGCCAATCATCCAAATCCAATCAGCAAAAACCGACGCAGGAGGAATCCAGAAGTTTTGTAAAGTATTTGTGATGTGTTTGCCTTCTTATCCGCGTCTGAAAATATTTTAGTTTTGAAAAAGACAGGTTTCATAAATCTGTACTTTATAAAAAAAATAAAAAGAAGAGTTATATGTTTAAAAAATAGATTTAAAAAATACCTACATCCGCCTTTTAAGTTGAGACTTGACTCTTAATGTGAAAATTTGATTCCTAAAATAAATACTTTTGTTGTATCCAATTTAAGAAAAAAATACTTCTCTGAAAATAAAATAATTTATATATATTTTTTTTAAATTATGCAAATATGTAGCTAAAAATATAATTTTGTTCTGGGGGATTTTCTCTAATATTACTTACTTAAATAAAAAATTAGTTTAGTTTTGTATTCCTAAATTTAACTGCTCAAAAAACATAAATAGAAAGTGGATTTTATTTTTGTTTTCAAAAACTAAACAATAAGATAAGAAAAGAAGTCCATAATCAAAGAAGATATGGTATGTCCTGAACAGTAAATTCGCCAGCTATCCATTCAGAGGATATCCCTGGGATATATTTTACAGTATTTCCTTAGTATATATACTAACTTATGTGCGACTTAAATGAGACATTGACCGGATACACTGGGTATAATGTGTACTATTTGGGGTTTACTAGTAGTCACACGACGGAGTTGTGCTATAACTGAAATGAAAAATGAATATGAATAATGAACACAGAAATTCTAATTATAGGAAACGAAATCTTAAAAGAATAAAAACCATTTTATTTAATCATAAAATAATCTTCTTACTTATGATTTCGAGTTTTGGTTCATTTTCCCGCAACACGACAGAAACACTTAAAAACACACAGTATAAAACAAACAAAAAATTAATATATTGGTATGTTGTTTTAGACTTGAGTAGCTTTCCGGTATTTAATCCGCCAATTTTTCTTTATTAGTTTTTCATTGGTGTTAGGTACAAGTACTTAGATCGGGTTCAATAAAACACAAAAGGTGATTTTACATTAAAAACAAGACATTAGTACGAATACTTGAAATTTCGTGTTTTTGTATGTTTAGCACGCTTGAGCAAGACAAGACATAATACTTTGCTCTTTCGTTGCGATAATCCTCGTATCGCATCGATTCAATTGCTATTGGCCCTGTTCGCAAATGCGTTAACCATTTTCCCTTTTTTGTCCCAAGTACCGAAACAAATTGAACGAGCAACAAAATCAAAGATTGAACCAACAACGCGAAGCGCTGACCGCCCGACAGGAGGAAATGAGCGCGATTGATAAGCGAATATCGGAACTGCAAGAGCGACTGCACCGAAAAAGATTGCTCAATCAGCAGCTGGCCAGTCAGATTAGTGCCGCTTCACACAAGGCCGCTTACCACCAATTAGTCAGGTACGTCGCACGCATTGCGCGCTGCTGGAAAGTCTCGTTTTTGATCCGTCATACGTCTAGTAAATCTGCGATTAAAAGGGTTTTTGTCGGCTGTGCTTCGTTTACTAGGTTTTCGTATCGTAGCTTTGTTGATTTTTCTGTTACGCTTTTTTCGCCTTTATTGATGTACTTCACAGTCATAGTGACGGTTGTTTCTAATGGGAAAAATAAGGAACTGACAAAACGGAAGCGTTTGCATATTGTTATATAGAAAGCGTTATTCAAATAAAATATAATTTAATGAGGCATTTTGGAACACAACCTTATACCATTCGGTCGAATTGTGATAAAAACGCATATTTTTGAACATTTCACTGTCTCACTGTGTTCATTCCATTTTATCTTGCTGCCCAATACCCAATCATTGATGTTATGTACCCCGCAAAACTCGCCCAATATCTTCACTTCTTTCTTTCTAATATTCTTTTTGTTTTCCAGGTCTCAGGATAATCGGCACGGATTTGTTTGGTTAGCTATATTTATTAGGTAGGACCTGAGACCCAATAAATATAACTAATACAAAAATTACCTAACCTGAATCTGTTCCTATTATCCGGGATTATCCCACCCGAGTAAAGCTCATAAAATGCGAAGAGACCAACTTTCTTTTACATAAATTCATAAAAAATAATTTTTCGAACCCCAAATTTTAAATTGCCCAAATGTTATCAACGAAAATTTGACAACAACTTCTCTCCTGACATTATAACTAGTTCTAATGTGATGAAACTGGGTTGCATACAATTAATTGATCCGTGACAACGACTCATTGTCATTGTCCTGAATTATAAGCTTTTTTAAAAGCCTAAGTTTTACACTCTCTAAGAGATTACATTTAAGATTAAATCGATGTTTGATATAAGGTTTTTTTTTCGTATTTCTTAGTCCTATGGAGTTTTGAAGGAAATATTCTTGTATACAGATTTTAAAACTTTGCTTTCCAGATTAACTGGAAACGCGGATCAAAACAATCCAACATTTGCAAGGAAACCGCAGAATGGAAATAATGCGCTGAGTGGATTGCTGCGTAGCAACATTGCTGCAGTTGAACCCTACAACCATGTTCCTTTACAATCAAATCAACAAATCAGAGGAGTAAACCAAAAAGATGAGGTATAGATAATTATTAAAACATTTTGACACTCTACAACATTTTTTACGACATGTCTTTGTAACTCAAATCACAAACAGAAATTATTGAGTTTAATTTGAAAATTTGTTTTAGAATTCCACATATCATTCGATATATCAACAAAACCAACATATCAAACAAGACTCCAATCAAAACGCCAACCTATTGGAACCTCAACTTTCTGGCAACGTGGCAAATTTCTACCCACGGACCGATGAGAGCGAAAACTTTAAAGAATTCGCGGTGTCCAAATCTGATCCTAAGTACCAGACGTTGCCGTATAATACGAAATTCACTGTTAATTTGGTTCCCAATATGCCTAAAATTAAAAATGACAACTTTGAACACAACGAACTTAAGGAAGGCGCGGCCTACGCTCAAAGTGTAATTAACAATAACACCAATATTCAATCAATGCACATGACAGTGCACAGTGCACCTTTGAACACCATTAATAAAAATATAGCGACTCCATTGAACCAGCATGATTTGTTAAGTAAGAAGAATAGCGATGCAAAAGATCAGAATATCGTAAATGATGAAGATTCGAACGAAGTGGAGGCGAAGTCACTAAACGATCCTTTAAATTTGAAAGCAGCTTATCAGGTAAGTGTCTAAAGTTTTTTAAAGAAACTTCCCGTAATACCGTTTACAAATCTTCTGAATTCCTCCTGCATCGGTTATTTAAAAATCGCCAATTGTTCTGTTGTCTTCTTCAGAGTTAAAGCTTGATTTATAAGGAAGGAGGAATCCAGAAGATTTGTAAATAGTAAGTATCTAGTGTTTTTATATTATCATTTACATATTGGCATTACACATACAATCGTTTTCTTCGTTAGAAACCCATTAGCAGTGTGGCCCCGACGTCCATTCACCACACAGGCATACCATCAACCGTCTATCAAACATCATCAATAAAAGTTCAGCCGGTAGAACCACAAACTATATCTGTATCCACCAAAATTGCGGCGCCCGTTTCCTACAGCAGTCCTATAAGTAACGTGCAATCACTTCAAAACTCCACTTTGTCCCCACCCCAATCTGCAAGTACTCCTTTAAGCAGTTCGGAAATTGATAAATCACCGAAACCGGCCTTGCCCCCAAAACCTGCCATAAAACCACCTCCTAGGCAGACCCAGTTAATCAATGAAGAGAGCTTAAAACCCCCGCCCCTTCCACTTTGTGATCCACCCGATGAAAACGTCGATGCTATAACCAAACCGCCGATGGTATCCAATCATAAAGCTCTGGGTGTCGACTCGTCTATAAACAAGCCTAATCTTATGGCTCAATCTGAAAAGATTATCAAGGCGAAGCCGCTTAACATTAAGAAACAGCCTCTGTTTGAACAGCCAAAATTAAGGAGCTATAATTCATATTCAAAGATGAATGGCATAGCTTTAAACTCGAGGAAGATGGAAATGCCGCCATATTTTCCATTTATCGAGAATCACACCGCCGAGAAACCAGACCCCTTAAGGCCGACTATCCAGGAGAAAGATGCTAGAGACGAGCCTGATAAACTATCTCCCTCGTCTGTAGAAGAGGTAGGGTTAACATTATTTTATTTTGCGAAGATGTAACGGAAAAGAAAACGTAATTATGAACACAAATCCTTCAATATTTTGTTGTTTAAAGCTTCAAATATCAATATTGCCACCTTTCACACTTCGCCTATTTTAACTCGAAGGCGCGGTGGGAAATATTTACATTAACTGTGTTTTTATTTTCTCAGCAGTGAGCTTAGCTTTCTCAGCTTAGATAAAAGTGGTACTTGTTTATATATTTTCTGAAATAAGACAAAGGAGATATGTAAACAATATTTGCTGATTTTTTTCTAAATCTGGTGAAAATTTAGACTTTAAGCCCCGATTATATTATAGGTGTCCGAGTGTAAAGACCCAAACAAAGACGACTGCGTTATCAGACGATGCAAAAAAGGCAATTTGAAACAAACGGGTAAAACGAACCTCTCCAGGCGGGTTAGTTTCGATCCATTGGCTCTACTGTTGGACGCCAGTTTGGAAGGGGAATTGGAATTGGTTAAAAAAACGGCCTCTCAAGTCACCAATCCAAGTGCGGCAAACGACGAAGGCATAACGGCGTTACACAACGCAATCTGCGCGGGGCACTTTGAAATCGTCAAATTTCTGGTAGAATTCGGATGTGACGTCAATGCGCAGGACAGTGACGGGTGGACGCCCTTGCATTGTGCGGCCAGTTGCAATAATTTGACGATGGTCAAATTCCTCGTCGAACACGGCGCCTGCATTTTTGCAACGACTTTAAGTGATCACGAAACTGCAGCTGAGAAGTGCGAGGAAGATGAGGAAGGCTTCGACGGTTGTTCGGAATATTTGTACAGTAAGTCGAAATGAACAAGTCACTTGGGTTATTGGAAACTGGAATTGTTTACAGGTGTACAAGAAAAGTTAGGTATTTTAAATGGCGGTACGGTGTATGCGGTATTTGACTATACTGCACAACAGCCAGATGAGATTAGTTTCACAGCCAGCCAGCAATTCACTGTTTTAAGAAAAGGCGATGAGAACGAACGTGAGTGGTGGTGGTCCAAGTTAGGAGACAAAGAAGGCTACATCCCAAGGAACTTACTTGGGGTGAGTGTTTTCTAACATAACGTATGTCTAAAGCCGTCCTACTAACAGGAGAAGATATAATTAGCAGTAGTAGTTTTATCAATTTTTTTACTCTAAGATTAAAAAAAAAATGCTTTCGTTTTTCAGCTATATCCGAGAGTGCAAAGAGATGAAGAGGTCACCCATTGAAGTGCAAGCAATTTATTAAAATGATCCTCGAAAGTCAGTGTACCTTGTATGATTTTTCTTAAAATTTTCAATTGTTTTATAACGTTCACCTTTGCTCATTATATAGTGTTATATTGTCCAGTTAAAGGTAGAACTTTATTGTTAATTTATAATCCGTTATCTGTTGTTATGCTTTAATGTAATAATAATCATTTTAATATATTTTTAAATATTGTATATACTATAAATATAAAATGAAAATTATTTACATTAAATAATATTGTCCATTAACAGAGGTCTAGTTATTCTTCTCCCAAGGAAGCAAATGAGCCATGGAACAAAACACACTCATTTTAATCATAGTAATTGTGTATACAAATCATGAACATAAATGGTTATTGCTAACATCAAACCTACAATGTATACATTTAAGTACAATAATATAATATAAGTAATAAAATAATACATTAACACCTTTAATACACGGACTTAAGATAGTAGCGTCTCATATAAAAGGAAACAATTTCGCTTAATATATACAATAAGTTTGATTTATCTGGACAGACTTGCGATATAATACAGTTTTGCTTGGAGGGAATGTTTTTATGAACACCGTATGCCACCAAATTTTTTTGTGTGGGTCAATAGATGCCCTTCAAAATATGAACTTCCGAGGTTCATCTGCCTTTCGTGATAGAATTTTGAGCACAAGATAATGTGAATAAAAATTGTCCTGCTAAAAATGAACGCTGCTTCCAATTCAAAAACTATAAAAATAAATAACATTATAACTAATCAACAATAATAGCTGCCATTTCCTTCCATTTAATTTAATTGACCTTTTCCGATTGGAAAACCACTGCCCCAAAACTGGAAATTAAAAAGCAGGTTAAATTTCCAAAAGTGGATTTCGCGTTATTTTCCAGTAAATATAATAATCACCCTGAATTAGTCGTACTAGCATTCACCACTACCTACCCTTAAACAAATAGAAACTACCATTGCAAATTTTTTGATTATATTTTTTAATCTTATTCTAAAGTTTAACTTTTCTTAAAATCCAAATCATTATCCAAAATGGATACAACATTTTTGTTAAGACTAGTGGATAAATAAAGTTGATTCAAGATCAGAAATCATACATAACCTTAAACATTAAAACTGCGAGGAAGGGGCCTCCCTGCTTGTAGGGCCGCTCCTCCAGTAGATGTAGTGAGGTCCCGCATCACCGCGCGGGGCTCCTAGATGGCGCGCCCCGGTGGCGCGGCGATGGTGACAAGCAAGGGAACCACTACATCTCTGCAAGGGACGAAGCATACTCTACAAGCACGGGAACCGCCAACATTTATGCCGGGGGCGTAGCACCCTCTACAAGCATGGTGCCTTCATCCAGTTTTAAGATTCGAAGTTGTGTATTTCTGCTATGGCACCAGCTTTACTTATCTACTAAGTGTTTCTTCCATTAAATTGGCAAGGTTTCTGTAAGCAGGTACTATCTATCGCTGGAATTCTGTTCAGTGGCCATTTTGATCATACACTATTATTTCGGCATATAATTTGCTATCTACCATAATTTTCTTGATAACATTTATTGCCGTTTAATCAAACGAAAACAAGAATTCCATCATCCAATAAATATTCCAGTAAAATGCTAGAAAAATCTTTGGTCTTTGAAAATGCTTATCAACATCATATTGACCTGTCAGTACTCCCTTAACGTGGAAATCCACACATTTCGGGCATAAGGTGTCCAAAAAGTGCGCCAAAATACTTTGGCTCAACAATTTGCTGGTATCATAATGTGCCTTAAGCTGCAAGCGTACAAAACTACTCTGTTAACATGTGCTTAAACTCACAAAAACCAGCTTCGCTTATGATTGACTTTGCATGAAACCCCTAGGGGATTACATTATTAAAAACAATGGTAATACGATACACTAACCTCGACACAGGCGAGAATTTGAAACAGTTGAAGCTTCTATCTTTTTTTTTTAATAACTCTAAATTCTATAGAAATGCTAACGCATCTGGTAAATCCGTGCTATACACCTACCATTAAGAATGACTAAGAACATATTGCATACTTAAATAGGACTAATAACCAACCTTCGGAGTACTACAAACTTCGGTCATTAAAATTTTAAGTCAAGTGTTCATAAAAAAAAAAAACAAACAAGGAGCAGAAAATAGCTGTCTAGTAGCGCTGTTGGAACTCGTGATGCCATCGGTTGAAGTCAATATGGAATACAACTATGGAACCTAACGCAAGGCCCGCCAACAAAAATCTAGAAGAAATTTCCATTGTTTTTAGGTCCTCATTCCATGAAATATCAATTTGCAACAGCAATTTTAATTTGCATTTGTAACTTTTATGAAGTTAAAATTCCTAAACAACCTGTTAACTCTCAATCTTTATCGCGACACTGCTATTAAGAGTGGAAACTTAAAAAGATAAAGTTGCTGTCATATCTCAACCACACTTAAAAGAAATATACATATACTTACTTCTGATCGTGTGACAACGCTAGCGACCTAATACTACTATCACACGCAGGAAAAGCATATAGCAAAGCCAGATTGAATGTCCTCCAGACCTCTACAATACCCTTGTCTCCTCCAGTCATTAGATATTCGCCATCTCGGCTCAACAGAAGACACTAAGATGAATAGACAAAGTTATGATGCCACGAGTATGTTATTTAACGATATTGTTGTAAATTACCTGAAGGTTATCATTGTGGGATTCATGTCTTAATCTCTTTCCGTTAATGGTGTATGAGGCTACGTTTCCTTTTTCATAATTTACTACTACAACCCCCTCCCTAGACATGGCAATATTTTGTGGCGAACTGAACCCTATTGGTGGATCTAGGGATCTAAGTAGGTCACCAAATGTAGTATGAACTAGAACTGGACCATCTAAAAATAAAAAATACAAAACTGTAGGAAAAAGATAAGCACGCCCTACAAACATATATTTTCAATCAATATTTGAAAAGTTCTTGGGTGCTTCATCCTTTACTTCATAGCTTTTATGCTAAAAAATGCTGTTCTCAAGTATTGTCGTTTTGGCTCTATTTAGTATTTCTGACAATAGTCAAGGTTAACCAATAATAGTCACCAAAACATTGCACCAAATACTTCATCAACTTTTTTGACATCTCAATTAATATTACATTTCACTTACTGTATGATCCCGAGACGACCAAGCCAAGCTCGGCAGATATGACAACGCTGGAAACTGGTTGTTCATGTCCCGTGAGCGTTGCCCTAGGTGTTGGTACCTCGGCCTCGCCGACAATCGTCTGAGTCCTGGCATTCCAGTGCCATAGCAGGACCGTGCAATCGGCAGAACCCGAAGCGATGTAACAGTCGGAGGTTATGTTGCATTCCGACCGCGAGAGGCACGTGACCACCCCGTAATGACCGAAAATAATTTGTACAATTTTGGCACTTTCGGTAGAAAACACGCGAAAACTGTTGTCCCAGAAGCCGCAAGCAATCAGGAACTTGCTGTCCACCGTCGTTACAAAGCAATTCGATCGGATTTTTAGATTTTGTATGAAATTGTCGCCCAGATGCCGGCGTAACATTTGGTTCTGCTGGTTGCTGTTATTCGTTAAGGCTGGAAAAGATTAAGAACACATCACACATCATGACGATCATGATGAAAAAGCTCTTATACGTGTTAAGCTATAAGAGTGATTTGAAGTGGAGTTTTTACGAATTTTTGTCTATTAAGATCTTTGTCTATAAAATCACAAAAAATTTGACATTCCACGGTAAACTTGAATTAATAAACTCGCAGCAAAACACAGGTCCCAGATCTACAGTTAATACTATACTAAATAAATAGAGGCTGAGAAATCAACATGAGCTGGAGGTGCCATTTTTAAGCGAGCATTTGCTCAACACATGACCAAATTCTATTAAACATTCAAGGAAAAACGAGTTCAGTATTTAGAGATTTAGAGATCTCTGTATTGAAAGTAAACGGCCCAAAGTGCAGGTTAATGTGTGAAATTTAGCGGCCACTATATTGCCCTAGGAGCAAAACGGTAAAAATGTTGAAAGAACATCTAACAACTAATTACATCTAATTCATGCTCCTGCTACACCTAATCACATAAAGTGTAGAAAAGATATGTGAGCTTACTTTCCAACTTACACAGAACGGGATCCATTGACAATGGCAGGTTGGAGGCTTGACTTTGCGGTATGTCGGCGTAGCTCGGCGATTGCGAAGCTGCGGCGTACGCAGTGTTCCATTTGTTGACCGCAAACTGTTGGTGCATGGATACGGTCACGACCGAAGGATTCGGGAGCTGAGGATAAGTGTTGGCGGAAATGTGCACTATGGGACTGTTCGACAGGAATTTCATGGTCATGCACACGTCATCCGGGATCGTGGAAAACATCATGGGCGACTAAAACAAAATTTTTATCGATTTTAGAAAATAAAATATTGCTATTTACGAAATAAAATTTATAAACAAAGCTTACCAAATGCATTGCCGAACTTCTTGGCGGATGTGGCTCCATCAACAATTGCGACGGTGTTTGACCGAAGTTCCGAATCTGATTAATAATCGCCTCTCTCATAACTTTGTCTTGAATGGACTCCAAGTCGACATTTCCCTCGTAAGTCAAGTAATAAAAGCAATTGGTTGCCCGGACCGCTTCTGGTCCTTTCTGTTTATAACCAAATATGAGATCGATCCATTGATGCAGTTGGCACGATACGAACTCCGACTCTAAAGCCATTCTATTTATCCGTACAAATTCCTCGGGCGAGTTTGCCCAAGGCGGTAGCTCGACATCGTTTATGATGCGTCCGCTCTCATTTACGCCCAATCGGTACCGGTTCGAGTTCACAAACATCTCAGGCAAAAAATAAAATTCGGGAATAAGTTCCTTAACGTCTGCGGTGTCCCGTTGACAATTCTTCCACGACAAGGCTATGGACGAGAACAGGCGGTTCGGATAGTCGAACTTACCGCCATTCAAGGCTAAGTACATTGTTGTAAAAGGTTCCTGAAAAAGAATAAGATGATTTATAGTGGATAGTAACAATCTATTGGCTATGCAGTAAATTAAGTTACAATTACAACAAAATTACAAAAGCAGACCATTCCCGCCTTCTAACTTTTGAACAACCTGGTATATCGCGAAGATATGTGGAAGAGTCAAATTTATTTTTATACGTAAGTCAATTGTATTATTTTTATCAAATCAAAATTTAAATTGTCACCAATGGATTTAATTTTTTCCGAAATTTAAACCAAAAGCAAAAATTGTCCTGGTAATATCTTGTTTCTTGGAACAAAGTTTATCATAGAAAAAAAGAAAACAGAGAAAAGAAATACACAATTAAAAGCAGATTTCAAAGATGACATAATACAGGGCTAGCAATTTACCTCTCATTATATCTGTAACATCATAAAATGTTTATCAAACGAAGGTCCCTGTGGAAAACAATATTGTTTGTATTGCAACATTTTGTCTGAATTATTTGCAACTGCTGAGCTCTGTATGCTAAAGAATATTTCCGTTTAGAAACCCAGCTTACAGTAGTTAATTCCGCTACTAGTCGTGCGATGGCGCCATCGGATCGTTGTTTTAATGGTTTTAGAAAACAGCGATCAAATGTTCATAAAAAATACCTAAATCATGAATTAATAACTTATTGAATTTCTAATTAATTATTGCGTAATTTGTTGACCACAATGCAAACGGATCAGCTTTTATTTTGGTATATACTGGATTGTAGCTTTTTTTGTCAACGAAATCGGTAGTAAAACAAAAAGTGTTTCAATTAAAATAACCGAGTTTTAAATCATTTTTTACATTCCCGGTGACTTAATTTCCGACTGCACTCACTGTGTTATAAGTTCAAATCAAAAGGAAATTACATAACTACAATATTTAATTAACAAATACGTTATATCTAAAAGAAAGATAGTAGTTCCACAAAACATTAAACTGTTATTTTTATAATTCAATTTGTTAAAATTGTCAATGTCCATGGAACTATCTTGCATTTTTACCATTCTGATGAGCCAGTTGTAAACAAATGCAGACGTAGAATAATGGGTACCATAGTGGAATGGTGGTATGCTATCGTGTTCCCAAGTAGCGTATCTTTCTTCGAAATAAACCCGTCTGTTTGGATTGAGAGCGCCGATCGGTTTTGACAAGTCCCTGTAGTTGCTGGGCTGGCTCAAGTCCAAGTCCTTTGAGTCGTAGTTGGTGAGTATCCAAGGGAAAACAGGGTATTGGTTCAAGTCGTTGTAGGTACGACCTTTTTGAAAGAGAAAATATAAAATCAAGTTATTTGGAACCCTCCTTATGAATCTGCTCTATCTAATATAATGTAACTCAACAAATCTATAACTGGCACCTCATTGACAAATCCTAAATGGATACTATGAAGTCGAAGTTACCAAAGTGAAATGTGAAATTTTGAGAGGTCGGCATTTCTTTGGCTTGAAAACCATTTATTTCAATGTGCCAATCGATTGCCCTTTTTCCAATATTGGATGTGAAGCAGTCAGTTCCACAATTAGATTGGACAATAATTTTTGGGTACTAACTAGTAACCAAATGACGTGTGACGTAACAGCGGTTAAAATCATCGCTTCCTTCCGTGATTAATGTTATTGGATGAAAAAAAAAAACATTTTAAGCCAGTTTGCATGCAAGTTACTGTTTTCAAAAATGATTTCAAGTGATATAGATGTTTTTACGTTTGTAGAAAAATTCTATTTCCAACTAGTACGCGAAATATTTTGGTGATTTGGACTATGTTTCAACAGAATCAGTTACCGATCACCAAAGTAGCATTTCGCGCACTTAGTGGTTTTTACAGTTTTTATATTAATATCTTCCCAAGACCAATTGTACGATTCTCAAGTATCCATGTCTCATCAGTACAAACCAAACAAAATTGAAGGATCTGCTTTTTCTTGCAAATACGATCTTAAAAATTTAATTTTTCTTTTTCTTTAAATAAACTACTTAATAATCAATTGTGTTTATTCCGTTCTTTATATGACATATCCAATAATACATCACTCTCTGTTTAACGTACACAGTTAAAAAGAGACAACAATAGCAGAACCGATCGGAACGATAAACGATAAAGTTTAATGGCAACAAGTAATTCGAAAATCTGTTATTTTTAATTTTTTATATTGTGATTTTTTGATGACGGTCGTAGAAAAAGTATAGTATGCAACACGTTCGGTAAACTTTTTTAAGTCACTCGTTTATTAAACACTCACCCCGCTCGTGCCAAATAAACTCGTGAGTCAAATGCCGTTTACCGCACTTGTTGGCCTTGAGTAACCTAAAGTAATAAAATTAAAAATATTGATAACATTAAAATTAAAATATTAAATAATTCTTAGAGAACGTATTTTTCACTTTAAAATAGGCCTTCGATCTTTTAAACTTAAAATGGTTAGTTGATGGTTGATAGCGGACATATGATCAGCGGTAAGCGTTGGTATATAACAGCTTTAAAAAATCCTTAATCCGAACATAACTGTGTGTGTGTGTGTTTGCTTCGGCAAACCCTCGGAATAACAACCCCGGTGCCGCGGGCCAAGAAGAGGGAAAGAACTAATCTCGGGTCGACGCTCTGGTGACTGAGATGGCGCCTAATTCGACCTGACATCCTTTATCCGGTATCCGGGGATACTCGGCTACGGGACGACATGCGTCGCGGCGCGTACTGCCTTTTTATAACAAGGCCTACTATACGGCACCTTACACCTATGACTGATTTTTATTAGAAAACAAATATGTGTTTTTTTTTAGAAAATCGGCCTGGCTCTAATGATTTTTTTTCTATGCCCACAGAATCAATTTGAATATAGTGTTTTTGGGGTTAAAAGTCAGCAAATTTTAGTTCAAAAGGCGATATTAACAAAAATACAGTTTTATGTACTTTTTTCATGAAAAAAAAGTAAACCTGGAAATTACTATATAGAACCAGTGACCAGTTTATTTTCAAAAATGTTCAGTCGAAGTCTATTGCAGATAACTTTGGCAAAATTTTTAAAACATATCTTACATTGAAATGCAAAAATAAAAATTTGATCAAAAAAACATTACATTGACATATTTATTTTGGAAACGGAACAATTTATTTGTCCGTAAAAAAGGTCCCTAATCAAACGAGTTTGTCACAAAAATCCTGAACCATATTATATATAACAATTTTAAATGTTATGCTAAATATTCGATAGTATAATAAAGAATAATCTTAATGTTTTGTGTATCATATTGCGTTAAATAATAATTATTCCTATTTTTCTTTCTGCTTTTTTCGAATTGTAATGGGCTATTTTGAAAATCAACTGAGTTAACAAAGATTTTGATTTTAATTTTGGCAATCATCGTATTGCACTTTAGCAGAGCAAATCGCGTGCGCTAATATAGTAGGTCCCCCCATCCCCCCTTTTGCTTAAGGTTTTATTTTCCCCGTGTGTCTGGCTGAGTTGTCGAAAGAGCCAGTATTTATTTATACCGGTCGGTACCTCACTGCCGACGAACCATATCTCAAACTAATAGCCTAATTAATTATATTTAAATTAATTTCATTACTTTCGGTGCTTTTAGAACTTAATTATTTTCCGAGCGAGCGAAGCGCGACCGCTTTTTCTCCATCGGTAGCACGAACCAAAAAAGGCGTTTTACCAGAATACGCCTTTTTCGATTTAACAACTTCATAAGGGCTAACGAGCTTGTTGTCTAAACCCAGTTAATTAGCGTTTATTTTATAGAGTAACGCCAGTTTATCGATAATTATTACGCTTCGGTAGACTGCGTGCGGGTATAGAATAGTATACACTATGCAACAAGTTCGGTAAGCGCCACTTTAGTCAAGAGTTTGATTTGGCACGAGCGGAGCGATTGTTTAACAAATGAATGAAGTCACTGTGAGCATTTTTTATGTCAAAAAGTAGTTAGTTCAACTCTTTATTTTTGAAAAAACGTTCATTGAAATTTTTGAAAGCAACGGGAATTAGATGTAAAAATTTAAAGAAAGTTCTGAATTATTTCAAGCAAATGACATTAAAAATAAAAGGTTTTTGGCAATTTAATTTCAATAAATAAAATACTCAAAATGCTAAATTTAACTTCACCGATTTCGGAAGAAAACAAAAGTTCTAAAAAATATAAAACAGTTTGAGACACTGTGAATATTTCTATTTTGGTATTATATTATTGGCATATGAGTTCAGAATAGAGTTCATGAGTTCCGAAATAGAGTCCAAAATGAAATTGTTGTGAGCGATTAAGCACCACGAGAAAACCAAAACCGTATAGACTTCTGGACCAGTACTAGTTTCGATAACAGAACAAAACAAAAACTACAAAATCCTAAAAACTGAGGTTTTTGAGATCAGAAGTCCCTATCCACCATATCGTTACTAGATATACACTGACCTTTAAAGAAGACATCAAAAAAATGTCGAGAAGGACATTGAATATTCGCACGCGCGAGTCATTTTAATCATAGGCGATGTCAACACAGTTTGGATATTACATTTTTTCGGCAGTATTTCTAGGGAAAAGGGAGTTAAATGTGTGAGTGATCTCTACTTAGAAAGAAAATAGCGTAAACTGTTAGTGTGTGGTGAAATGCCTGGAAAATGTATGAAAAAGTCAGCCGTCTGAGGTGCATCCATTTTACTGTATTATTTTTCATTTTACCTTATCTTTATTTGGTGAAAAACAATCGATAATTGTATAACATATATCTCAACTTATGCTTCAATTAGAAATCTCTGATGGCTTCTAATGTAAAAAAAAGAGTGAAGTGAAAACCGAAACTCAATGATTTTCGCTGACTTTCCACGTCGCTAACAAACGTGCAGAAACCACAAAGGCGTTCAATCGGAAATTTGGAATATCAATGTTGCTGCGCATTGTTAACATGAAGAAAACAGAAATCGCTTAAGTTAATAGTCTGAGCGATGTATAAACAGAAGAGAAGAATATAGAAACAGAACTGGTATAAGCAGGGTGTTTGAAACGGCTTTTTAACAATATATTAAATATTTTTGGCACGATTTTGATGAAATTGGCACCATCATGATTTACAATGACAAAAGACTATTTTTTCTCTAACTAAGCTAGAATTATGAAGTCCAGTGTCCCATCGGGACGTATCTTAACGAACAGTATTGTTAAAGAGAAGTACGCGATTGACTTTTCTGAAATTTTTGTTATTTACTAAAACTAGAACTTTTATTTTAATTCTTCAGCAGTTTCCGTATCTTGTCTCGTTTCCGAAGAAAAAAAAATTGACAAAACTTATTTAGTATAAAAATCACCCCTTTTCACAAGCAGGATTTTTTTGGAAAAACCCCTTTTCTTTAAAAAAAAATAATATATACGGTTATTAAAAAAACGGTTTAACAAATGAATAACAGTTGCTATAATTTCCTAAGAGGAGATGAAACGTAGACTTGTATATTTAAAGAAAAACAAAACATAATGAACAGTGAAAAAAAATATGTTGTTTAGCAGAACCGAGAAAAGTTAATTAATTAATTAATTAATTAATAATCTCGTGACTCAAATGCCGTTTACCACACTTGTTGGATTATATGCTATTTTGCAAAGTTCTTTTTTATGACCGGACAGCAGATTGTTTCTATTTTAATATTTTATAGAAAAAATAAGCTTCTTGGATTAAACGATGAGAATGCATGTTTAACACGTTTAGCTTATGTTTTCATGTCTTCATCGGCAAAATCCTTTGTGCAATCATACCTAGGTGTGCCTAGGCAAAGCCCGCATTGCCAGGCCACTTTAGGCAAAGTCCGAAACTATTAGATATTTCGGACATTATCTACACTATGGTACGACAATATTAGGTTTGTCAAATGTGTAGCAGGCAATCTCTGAAATAATCTGCCTGAACTAAAAATAATAAGAAATAAAAAAAGTAAAAAAGAAAGAAAAATAAAAATATAAAAAAATAAATAAAAATACAAAAAATACAACATAAAGAAACATTTTAAAGAATTTTTTTTCTGATTTCAAAAATCAAATAAAAAAAGGAACATTCTGTAAGAAAAATATCAACTTTGTGTTCCATCCAGGCAAACAATATGTTTTCAATATCTTGGTTAGACTGCCCCACACTTGGGAATGACGGGTTTTCCGTGGACAATACCTAGTTGTGGCTATATCACTTTCAGGTAGTGTTGTGCCAATCGTTCATTTTACGAGGACCGAATCAATCAGTGACCGATTTCGAAAAGGACCGAATCATTTCAATAC